TCAACTGGAGACTCCAGATGCTGTTGGTCTGGAACAGAGAATTTAATGAATGGATTCTGTTATATTCTTGCTTTTCATAACACTTAGGTTTTATTATTGGTCAGTGACATTAAATGTCATGTCAGCTCGTGATGCTGTTGCAAATTTTTTACAGAATTGCTTTATTCTAAGCTGTTGAACCCTATATGAAATATCATGTACAAGGAGTGCCCTAATATGCAAAAATGCTTCACATATTTAATATGTACACATATATTTAATCAGAACATGAGATGACACGATTAAACGTTAATCCGTAAGCATTTTCTTAGCATTACAAGTATTTTGCACATAATAAGAAAGTAACTATTCAGGTACCTTCCTCCGGCTCCGCCCGTTCTCGAAGCCGCCGGACGAGGTATGCCGTCCCAGCGGCCGCAACCACCAGTCCGGTTGCGCAGAGCAAATGAGTAGCTTTGACGTTCTTAAGGATGTTTAAGATTGCCATTGAGCTCATTCTCCTGCATTAACCAAGACGAAATGAACACTGTAACGTTGTGTTGCGGTTGTTGTTGTTTAGTTCTAGAACTCAAGCGTTGCGTCTTTTAAATACGTCATTTCAAAATGAGAAAAACTTTTAAAACAATTTTATCACTTTAAAGGGGAAATACGACATTGACACCTAAATAATTTCCTTTGCATGGCTTTAAACTTGCCGGCATTTGTACACCGTATTTTAAACATGCAGAAGTCTTTACGGCACGTTGCAGAAGCGAGGGGATCCTAATACGCTGGATTATGTGAATGATTATGTAATGATTACACGACATGTAGTCAAATTGACACAGGTGGACACCCTGCAACTGCTATTCAGACCCCGGAATGAAATGCCCTGTGCATGGTGCCCCTCCCCATACCACCCATATACAGGCTTACATTCATTATTAGGCAGAGCACCCATATATCGGCTTACGTTCATTATTAGGCAGACCAACCAAATATTGGCTTACATTCATTTTTAGGCAAATCAGCCATTTATAGGCTTACGATCATTAATTTGTAGACCACCCATAGGTAGGCTTGCATTCATTAATTGGTAGACTACCAATGCACAGTACTCACAGAAGATCTTGAGATGCTTGCTTCAGTACACATACTGCATTATTAAAAAAAAAAAAAAAATTTAAATGTAAATAACTTTCATTTGTTTTTTATAAAGTATTACAAATGTTAGAATGAGCCAGCAGTTTTAAGTAAAATATTAATTTCATATTTTAATAAATTGAAACCCAAATTATAGTTCTAAATGAGCTGCTCTGAGTTGTAACACTTCATTGACAAGCAGTCTCATTCGGTGCTTTTTAATTAGTAACACCTTTGCAATAAATAAAACACCAAACCTTTGNTCACCATTCACTCACACCTACAGGCAATTTGGTAACTTGAGATAGCCTCAGCATGTTTTTGGACTAGGGGGAGAAACCCCACGATGACACGGTGAGAACATGCAAACTCCACACATGGAACCCTGGCAGAAACTCAAACCCAGGTCCCAGAGGTGTGAGGCGACAGTGCCAACCACCATCACTGTGCCACCCACCCCTGGGAACAAACTGAGGTTAACTGGAGTTACCAAGTTGACCATAGGTATGAATGGTGCACACACGCAAGTAGGCACGCGCAAACACAGGCAAGCACACAGACAGGCACACACACAGGCAGGTTTGCAGAGACAAAGGCACGGACGCACGCAGACATCCACACAGACACGCACGAATATAGGCAGGCACACACACAGGCAGGTACGCAGAGACAAAGGCACGGACGCATGCAAACACGTACACAGGCATGAATGCGCGCAGGCAGGCAGAAACGCATGCAGACACACATTAACGCACACAGGCAGGCAAGCACACAGGGACGTACGCACGCACACTGGCATGCATGCACACAGGCATGGAAGCACAGAGGCACACACACGTGCACGAAAGCACACAGGCACGCACACGTGCACACATGCAGGCACGAACGCACACACGTACTCAGGCACGCACACAGGCAAGCACGCGCCACGCACGCAGCCAAGAAAGCACACAGGTATGCACGCACGCACACAGGCACTCCCGCACACAGGCACTCCCGCACACATGCACGCAAGCACACAGGCAAGCACGCATGCCAGCACACAGGCACAGAGACACGCACACACATAAGCACGCAGGCAGGCAGGCATGCAGACAGCCAGCCAGGCACACAAGCACATACACAGGCACACATGTACACAGGGACGCATGCAGGCAGTCACACACACACATGCAGGCACACACACAGGCACACAGACACAGGCAGGCAGGTAGGCTCACAGGCATGCACATAGGGACACATGCATGTAAACACACAGGCACGCACGCAGGCTCATACACAGGCACGAACACGCTCAAGCACAAAGGCATGCATGCACATAGGAAGGCAGTTACACAGGCATACACGCACGCACACATGCTGGCAGGCAGGCATGCACACAGGTATGCATGCATGCAAGCACACCACAGGCACCCAAGCTTACAGGCAGGTATGCACACAGGTACGCATGCACAGACACGCACTCACGCAGGAAGGCAAGCACACAGGCACGTACAATAACATGCGCACAGGCACGCACGCCCACACAGTCACCCACACACAGGCACGAATGCACTCAAGCACAAAGGCATTCACACAGGCATGCATGCACACAGAAAGGCGCATACACACAGGCACACACGCAAGCACACAGGCAGGCATGCACACATG